GAGAGAGAGAGAGAGAGAGAGAGAGAGAGAGAGAGAGAGAGAGAGAGAATACTATATCTGTGTTCTCTAACTGAAGTCACAAATAGTTCTTTGTCTCTGGTGAGAGATACCACGTGGCCTGCAGAAGATAACACATTTTCTCAGGCTCAAGAAACAACCTGCCAATGTGGAATGCTCAGCCCGGCTTCCCACACCGAGCAGTGCTGGGCCAGCCCCTACCCGCCCCTGCAACACTTTAGCCCCCCCAAAATCTACTCCAGTGGTGCTGACAGAGAGCTGTGACACGGGGAATTCCCCTGAATTCACGGCTAATAGATCCTCTGCTGCTCAACTGTGATAAATCCATACATTTGGGAGTTTCTGTCTATTTACTGGGGGAAATTCCCCCTTAATGAAAAAGGACATTCCTCAGTTGCTTCCATGGCAACAGCTCAGGGCTACAGCTTTCTACCTGGGTTCTAAGAAATGTACCAGAATTTTTTTCAAGCCCTGAAGCTTAACACGTGGTTCAATACAGGATTGGGCCCAACAGACTAAATACAGTTTTTTGAAAGGAAAAAGGTTCAGCCCCTCTAACTGGATGGGAGGAAGCCACAACTCTGCACCTCAGATACGTTGCCAATGAATATGGATGGAAATACAAATGTGCTTTCTCTTGTTTTTCTAAAGCAGATTTTGCTAGAGTCCCAGCAAAAAGTTAAAGACCTGTTGAAACAAGGCCAGGACCACACATAAAATCCACTCTGAGTTTTGTTCCTGGGAAAACACCTGTCTCCCACTTTGCAGCAGGTTTTTGTCAAAATCCTACTGAGAACAAGCACAATTCATTTCTTAAAGAACAGCATCTTCTACATTCAGCCAACTCATGTTTGCCCCTGTAGAAAGGAACTACAAACTCTGATCAATCTGCATGAAGCACCTTCCTTCCTTGTATTTCTAGACACCTTCCCACACAATTCATCTCACTATTAAAAAGCCTAGGTGAAGAGAGGGGTCTTCAACAGGCATCCACAAGATGAATTTCAGTAGGGTGGGAGCACTGCAAAGAGCAGGTGCCCACAAGAAAACCGGTGCTTAAGCAACCACAGGATGGTCCTCTGCAACTCCTGGCATGCACAAGAGGGATCTCTGATGATCTTACTGAGAAACCAGGCCTGTAACAGCAAAGACAACATCAAATAACTTGAAGCACTGTAGCTGGGGCTATTAATTAAATTTGTTAGATTTATATCCAGCCTTTCCCCAAGGAAGACAATTATTATTAAATACATTATGAAGCAGTTTATAATAGACAACAAAAATTCAATAATACGAACTAGAAGTGAACAAAACAAGAAGAAAAATGATATGTTCAAAAAGAAGGACAAGGAGAATAAAATCAAAACCAATGTTTGACTCCAGAAGTCTCTTGAGTCTCCAAGACCTCACTCATGGCAGGAAGGCTTGAATGAAGAGATACATCTTCAGGAGGTGCCTAATAATGTAAGGACAGGTGACTCAAATTTCAGGGCTGAAGAGCAGGCGCCACCGTGGCAAAGATGTTACCCTGCAGTTTTTGAAACTTGCAGGAGACATGTCCTCTCATGATCTTAGCAATCCACATGGTCTTCGATAGTAACCATGATCCATCAAGGACCACCTTTGCTTGGGGCCTTAAGTGTCAAAAGCAAAGCCTTGAGTTTGGCTCGCTAGCTAATCAAGAGCCAGTGCAGTTGCTTCAAAAGAGGCAAAAGATGCATGTGGCCAGCAACATGGCTGCTGTCTGCTGTGCCAGCTGAGCTTCTGGACCTAGTACAAGGGCAGTTCTGTATAAGAGTGTGTCACATGCATCTAAAGGAGAGGTTGCCAGTGTGTAAATCACATAGCTAGGTTGTCCACAACAAAGGTTATAACTGATATACTACTGAAGCTGGAATACATGCCCACACAGGCCCATGGGCTTCCCACAGAAGCCCCCTGAAACTATATAACTGCTCTTTTTGGGGGTTGAAACCCTACTCCCAAATTTCCATACTTGAGATTCATGGTCAGGATCCAGTTTCAGGTTATTGGTCATCACCCATCTATCACAGATTCCAGACATAGATTCAGAATATGCACAGCTTCAGACATTATGGAAAAGTGAGAGCTTCTGCATATGGCATGAAGAAGATAAAAACTGCATCTCAGGACCAAGAAACCAACATACAAATATAGAACTCTTGAAGGCTGGCTTCCCACACTGAGCAGTGCAGTGTCAGTTCCTACCCACTACTTCCAGCACGAATTAAAAGCTGAGTGTCAGCAGTATACTGGTGGCACCCAGTCTTAAAAGTCTTGATGACTGCCACCCCGGCTTTGTATAGTTGTTAAACAGCATCAGAGATAAAAGTGTGTTCCTGCCATGAGACAGATTAACAGTCACCAATACAAATTTATGAGACCATCCCATTAAAAAAAATGGTACCTCTAAAACAGTGTCTCCAACTCATAGGAACTGTTCAGGAGAATACCATGTTTTATTGTTTTTACTGTTTCATGTTATTGGTTTTATTGTTGTTGTGAGCCCGCCATATAAATCTTTTAAACAAACAAACGTCAATGGCATCAAAAGCCACAGAGAAATCAAACAGGATCAACAGAAAAACATGATCTCAGCCCCTCTCTTACAGGTCATACGTCAAGATACCTCAGATTCTCTCCTACCACCAGGCCTGAGCCCAGACCAAAAAATGTCAAATAATCAGCGCCAAATATCTGCAATTGAAAAGGCATCAGCGCCTTGCCCAAAATAGGTGTTTGGGACTAAATCTGGCAACAGCTGCTTCAGGAGCGGGCAGACCACTGCTTGGTTCAGGACTGGCACAACCATGGGTTTACTATACCCTGGATCCAACCAGTCGACTTCCTTTGGCTAATGTAAATGAGCCAAATGGGCAAGGGTCAACAGAACATACAGTAGGCTGAACAGCCTCAGGTATCTTGCTCACATCCTCAGATTTCAAGAACGGAGAAAATCCCATACAATTCAGACCAGATGGTGCCCCTCAGTACTCACTGGGGAAGGACTAGTTCACAAGCTCCCCATCAGACAGATGCCTCTCACTAGCTTTTAGTCACTCTTCTGCCAGTGTGGTTGCTGTTCCTGCTCTGTTGGGCTGGCTAGGTTGGAACTACTGTCAAGAGCATGGCCAAAGAAAAAGGAAAAGCCTCGGCAGAGACGCTAACTGTGTCATTGCCTGCTGAAGTGGGGCATCATGGTCCCAGATCTCATGCCGCTGAAATCCAGTGCAAGACCAAGGCCCTGTGTGCCTCTCCAGTTTCACCTGGAAAGGTAGGTGCTAAAAAGGACTGCCTTGGATCTGTGAATGCCTGTCAAACTCACCTGGCTTTCTCCTCCAGCTCCGAGTTAGACGGGGGTCACTGGCTCTGTGTTTACCAAGTGCTCCAAACCTGCCTGGAACCAAAGCAAATGCAAGCCTTCTTCTAAGCTCTGGAAAGGAACAGGGATTACCCCCCTCCCCTGCAGCTCCAGGGCTGGGTGGAAGGGTTGGGTTCCCATGCTTACCAGAGTCTGGAGGCTATTGGAGCATTTCACTAGGAATGTGTTGTGAAAGCATAGCCCCTGCCAAATATGTCAGAGTGTTAGTTGAGTTGGCTAGGAATACAAATAAAATGCATGAACAGGCTTAAAGACAAACTCTCCTGCCAGTTAATTCCTTCCAGAACAAACCTGACGTCTTGCCCTATTTGGACAGTTTCTTAAGAGCAACTGATAAAGCCCGCTGGGCTCCTGGTTCATGCGTTGTGCTGCCTCCCCAAGCCTGCATAAAAGAGGAGGGGAAGGAAAGCAACTCCTTCTTCCAAGGTCTTCGGATACCCCTGGATCTGGAGTTACGAGTGTGATGCTGAATTTACTGAGAGCACCATCACTGAAGTGAAAAGAAGGGAACTAGGCAAAGACAGAGTAATACGCCCTGGGACAAAGAGAAAAAAAATCACCATAGCTCTGCATATCCACTGTGGGTGTAGTGATGGACCAGAAAAAGATCTCAGGGTCATGGTGCACAGCACAATGGAAACATCAACCCAGAGCGCAGCTGCCATGAAAAAAGTAGTTTTACTGTTGGGGAGCCACTAGGCAAAGTATTACCAAAAAATAATACAGTGCAATGATGTCTGTATTCAAATCTATCTGTTACCACACTTGGAATCCTGTGTAAAATTCTGGCCAACATTCTTCACAAGCAGTACTAAAAAACTGGGAACGGTGCAGAAAAGGACATCAAAGGAACCGGGGCTCGACCAGGTCCCCTACAGGGAAAGGCTACAGGGTCTGGGGCTCTTAAGTTTGTTGGGGAAAACGGTAGTAAGGACAAGTAGATGGAGATTATTCCTCCACACTGCAACTGTTAATACAACATGCTTAAACTGGTTACTGAATCTAAGCCATAGAAGAACTAACTGGGGTCAAAAGTAACCTTGTTAGAATGTCATGCAGATGCTTTTGCTAAGTCTTTACCTGAACCAGTGTGCTGTTTGAACACATCAGCAGATTGTTGAACTGTGGAGTGCAGTACTACAAGATCTAACTTGGTACAGCTTTAAAAAGAGTTGAGACAAATTCATAAAGGGAACTGTGGCTTGCAGTCATGACAACAGTATCAGGGAAGAAACTGGCAGGCCACCGTAAGACCCTAAACCTGGCTGAGACAGGCCTCTTGTCTAATCCAGCCCGGAGGTTACGTCTTCCTGTGAGATGACCATCTGCTGCTAAACTTTTTTGTGAAGCAAGGGCTAGCTGGGATCACCGCAAATTAACTAATCAAGGAAGAAAGGCAAATCCTCTTCCAGTCCCAAGTCAGCGGTAATTCAACCAGAACCCGGACTCTCTCTCCCTGAATGCCGAGGAGCCCAACGCCCTACAATGCCCCTCACCATGGCGGCACCTTCAGAGGCACCTAGATGAGACCCGAAAGCAGTCTGGAGGCTCAATCCAGGATGGAGTCCTTTTCATCTACGGGAGAGACGTGAGGAAACAGAGCCTGCTCCTCCCTTGGCAACGGCAGCCGGCATGTTCGGAAGCCACCCTCTGCCTTTCCCCGGCAGGCTTGGCTTTCCACCGCTTCGTCTAAACAGGTTGCCAACCGGCCTGCAGCACTCCAAAGGTGGAGGGGAGGGGGTTGTTAGGAAGACGCAACCGCCCAGCCCTGCTCAAATCACTGAAGCTGAGAGTGGGGCCGCTTTGATGGACGGCCCCCTTGCTCAGGGCTGAGCTGACGCTGCCATTTCAGGAGGAAAACAGACCAAAGGAAAGATGGGCTCCAGTCCATGCTCAGCCAAGAGGCCTGGAGCATTTTCATGGCCTGGAGCATAACCAGGGGGAAGGGGGGGCACTCCCTGGGGAGTCAAGGTCCCCCCTTGGGAAGTGGGGACAGGCCCCATCCATCTTGGCAGACTCAGCACAGAATGGCTGCTCACGCCATTCCCCACTCCTACCACAGGGCCTCAAGGTGCGGGAGCTCGAAACAGCCTTTCCCAGCCAAAGCTTCAAGCAAGTTGGATTCTAGCTGCAGCCCGGATGACGTGTAACCAGCACAAGGCAAGCTGATTGAGGCTGCTGAAGAAAGGAGAGCTTCAGACTGCAGTAGCTGGGAATCTTGGGGCCTGTAGTTGGGGACATCTGTCCCAGGAGATTCCACCGCTCAGCCATAATCCTGCTGGCTGTTTGACGGAAGAGAAAAATCAGGCTTTCGGTTTCTGCTGGCTAGGGGATTCTGGGAGTTGAAGTCCACCCATCTTTAAGTTGCCATGGTTCAGAAACACTGATTTAAATGATCCCCTTCCATCTAAAGTTTGCTTGTGGTCTATTGGGAAGCAACAGCTCTAGTCAACAGCAGCAGAGGAGTGACTTAGCCCTGTTCCTCGCAGGGCTATAGCCTGGAGCTTGCCCTCTTATCAAAGGATTTATTAGATCCTTGCAGCATCAGATGGAACTGAAGATGGAACATCTTCTGCTCTTCACCCAGTAAAAAGGCACACAGCTACTGTACTTGATAGGTAGGAACTGGCCAGAGGAAGCTTGCAATTAAGCCACTATTTTTAGGAGAGAGGCTATTCAAATATAGCCGGCCACACCACCAGCAAAAGCTAGAACAACAAAGTGCTTCTGCCAACGTTTTGGTCCATGTCCTGCTGCCCTGTTTATGCCATGGGCCTGCTGGGTCACAATGCTCCACAGGCAGAGAGCCAACCCTCAATGGCATCTGGAAGCCCTCAAATTCCAACCCTTTCTGGTCTGTATCTTTCAGGCCTCCTTGCTGAAAAGACCTGATTGGAATCCAACTTCTCAATGCCATTCCAACATTTTTTCTCACTGCTACTTTTCAGGCTACAGTGTTTTATCCCACTTCCAGTTCCTATTGCTAGCTCAGCCTCCAGCCACTCATGAACACCTTGTGCACTAGCATTTCCTCAGGATCCCTTTGCTTCTTTTGTCTAAGTATCTCCATCCAACCTTCTTGGGCTCATTCAGTCCTCCTCCTCCTCCTCCTCCTCCTCCTCC